CAATCTGGACTACACAGTGAGACTCTCTGTCAAAAAAAGTACTTCTTTGCCCTTCTTTTTCCTCATAGGCTAGGGCAGTGTGATAGATGCATTTTTGACACTTTTCTCTCTTGTTAAGGTTCCAGAGGGATAAAAATCCATTACCATCATAGTGGGGAAGTGTCACAGCAAGCAGGCACAGTTGAGAGCTCACATCTTGAGCCCCAAGCAGCAAGTGGAGAGAATGAACTAGAAATCGAAACTGGTTTTGTAAATCTCAAATCCTTCCCAAACAGTGCCACAGACTAGAGACCAAGGATTTAGATGCCTGAGACTGGGGGACAATTATCACTCAACCCCACCCCCCAAGTCCTGTATAGTTTCAGTACCTAATAAAATCTTATAGGCTCCAAGGACCTTATCCAGTTAAATGATGGTACAGCATTTTAAATGAGCCCAGGAGGGCTGGGAATATGGTTCAGTAGGTAAAGGTGCTTGAGGGCATGAATGCACATACCCAACAGTCAAGCAGAAAACCAGATGTGTTTTTGCAAATACCAGTAAGTCCACTGCTGTGTGCTACAGGCTGGGCATGAGACTGTGTCGCAAAAGAAATGAGGTGGAAAGTGATAGAGCATGACACCCAATGTATCTTTCTCCTGGTTCTATACATGCTCATAGGTATACATGTCCCCCCCCCACACACACACAATTTAATTTTTTTAAAAGAGCTATAACTTCAACATAAGCCATTCTCATTTAAACAGGAGCCTGGCTGGTGGGGCTGATGATGTCTCAAAGTATAACTGAGGTTCAGTGGAGCCCTTGAGTTGTTATTAGCATAGTCTGTGGCCACTGGTAGCTCCTGAGTCACATGAGCATACTACTTGGCCTATTGGTGGAAGTTGGCTGCCCTGGAATAAGTCCAGCATCAGCAAGGACAGGTCAGGTGGGACTGGAAAGCCGCTCAGGATCACCGTAGGCATTCTGGTATGACAGAAAGAGGAAATGCCAGAAAAGATCACAACCTCTTTAGTACCCTCTTAAAGATGGCTATGAAGTCCACTTCAGAGCTGTGACAAACTCAGGGACCCTCTCCTCATAAGCCACTTCTGTTCCCATTTCATAGGGTCATGGAGCTGGTGGAGCCCAAGCGAGAATGCTCACTGTAAAAGTTTTTTGGATAAAACTGATTACAGGAAGAGGAAGACCTGTTCTGACTTTCAAAGAGCTGATCTACAGTCATCTGGGAAATCATTAACCTGAGCATGGTGGTGCTGAATCAGGGAGAGTAGGCTTGGGTGAATAGCTGGGAGCACAGGATGACAGAGCTAGGGTTTAAGGTGGTAGGATCCACTACTCATGGCTTCTGCCACATTTCTCAGGTGGGGAGCAGGGAGCTGTGCTAGCTTTTGCTGCTTGTTCTGGCTGTACAGAGAGCTGTTGTGCTTCTAGACTGCTCTTTGCTCAAATTTGGTGGCCAGATTTGGAACAAATATGCAGATTTCAGGTGTTTTGTTTTGCTTTGTTTTTGAAGTCCTCGAATTCCAGGAAGGGGCCTCTGTAGTACCTGAGTGACCACATGGACAGTCAGTTGGTATTTACCCACTTTTACCTGGAGCAACCCCATGCTCACCTGTCAACTATGTTGGCATGCCCTGGGAAAGACCCTTCAGATTCATCTTGATGGCTAAAGATGTGGCTCAGTGGCAGAGTACTTGCCTAACATGCACAAGGCCATGGGTTCTATACCCAGCATTCCAAAAGGCAACAGTTACTGAGTCACTTGAAAAATTGTCAGACAAGCAGTGAACTAGACTGTCTTGAATTCTTTTCTTGCTCCAGAATCCTGATGGTGTCCAGGGACATGAAAAGTCTGGAAAAGGGACTACCATGATATGCTGGCTTGTCCTTCACACTTGGCGCTGGAACTTGGCTCTCTGACCTTGGGGAGTCCTGGGAGCAGTGTTCCCACCATGTCAGCCAAGCAGGGTGGAGCTCTGCCGGGGGAAGTGAGCTCACAGCATGCGCAAGTTGGGCCTGGGATCAGCAGGCAGAGGTTAGAGGCCAGAGCCAAGGGGAGGTCAGTGTCATAGCTTGACAGACTTCATATGTCTTGGTGGTATTCTTTATCAGTAAACCCAAATGGATACAAACAAAATAGAAGCCTGCACCTCCCAAGAACAAACACATTTACTATAAATTATACATACTCACATCACCATGTTGTTATATACAGTATAAAGCAAACAAAATAGATACTTAAGGGTAAGAAAAAGACCTATGCAGCAAATCATGTTGCACCTCACCCTGAGATGATGACTGGGAAGAAGCTGGGTGTTGCAGGGAACTGGTAGAGCAACAAGGAAAGAAAACAGTGACACCTAATACAGGCTTGGTGTCATCTCCCTGTTCAGCCATGACCGAGTACTGTCCTGTTGTCCACTCAGTAGTTGTCTGTGAACTGATTCACTTGTTTGTTTCTTAAATTTAGCCTCATTGCACACAAGAATAGGCTATTTGTGTAGCTAGAATTGTCTCCCAATGCCTGTAAAACAATCTAGAGAGAATGCTTATCTACATACCCCTGAAGATTACTTGTTGGTCCCTACCTGTGTGATGGGGACCACCCACCTTGGTGGGGACTCTCATCTAGCATCTGGCTTCAGATTAGGTGGGGGAAAGTGGGGGCTCCCCCAGAGTGAGCCTCCAGAGGGGATTATGTGGAATTACCTCCATCCCAAGGGCTGGCTACAAAGTATATCACACTAAGAGAACCCAGAAAGAGCATGTGTGATGGGGGACTGATGGGGAGGGGGGGAGGGGTGGGTGTCAGACGTTTCCCCATGAGAGAACTTTTTGAGCATCAGTTGTAGGCTATCAGTCTCTGGACCACCCCAACCCATGCCACAGCTGCTACAAGCCATTGCTGCTCCTGCCTGCACCAAAACTTCCCATGTTGTACTGGATCCAGGAAGTGATCCATTCACATTTTCAAGAGGTCCACTCTGTGATGGGGAGCTAGCTATCTATGCTTATGAAGCCCAAGGCCTAGTAGAGGATGGGTAAGAGTAAACAAGTAAAACAATGGGGAATGTCAGTGCAGATGGTTAGAGATGCTATGGAATGAAACAAACAAACAAAAAGGTGAGGGGCAGGGAGGGCATGTTTGGTGTGAAGAATTCCAAATAGTGTATGCAAATAGGATTGAGGGATGTGGCTCAGTATCTAAGGCAGTAGTTCTCAACCTTCCTAATGCTGCGACCCTTTATTACAGTTCCTCTTGTTGTGGTGACTCCCTAGCCATACAGTTATTTTTGCTGCTGCTTCATAACTGTAACTTTGTTACTGTTATGAATGTAATATAAATCTCTGTGTTTTCCTATGGTTTTAGGTGACCCCTGTGAAAGAGCCATTCATCTCCCAAGTGGTCTTGACCCACAGGTTGAGAACCACTGCTAGCGTTCCCAGGATCTCAGATAAGAGCCCCTGCACTGCTAACAGTAACAGAAACAATACCTTATGTGGGGACTTCCTTCCACCGAATGTGGTATATAAGGAAGAGAATAACTTGGCCATGAAGAAGCCTGATACTATCATGGCCAATATAGGACTGACAGCCAGTCTTAAGATCATGTTGCCAGTGTGTGTGCAGGCTGTGATGTCACAAGAAGGATACTTCTCATCTGTAGTCTTTTAAAACCCATAGCACCAGTGTTGGGGTTGGGCGGGATGTGGGGGGAGGGGGGTGGGGGAATCAGACACACTCCAATCCTGGGATTCGCAAAATTTCTGGTCAGGAACTCCACACTGCCAAGTTCATCAAAAGTGAGGAAAGTCTAGCACAGTGGCTAGATCTAATGAGGTCTAAGAACAAAAAGGACATTGGGGAAGGGAGTGAAATGTACTCACTTAAAAAGAGCTAAGGGAAAGGACAGGTGAGGAGAGTGAGCACAGCATCTCCAAGGGGGTGACATTTAAACTGAGCACTGGAAGATGTGAGTAGGAACACGCATGTCTGAGAAAGTATGGGCCATTTGAGAGCCAGCCATCAATAAGTCTCACTGTGCCAGAGTGGGGAGCCAGCAAGGCAGAGAAGGCCAGGGGGTGAGATCAGAGGTAGACAAGGCCAGAAACAGGAGGCTTCAGGCCATGGTCTGCACCTTTTGGATTTCAGCCTGAGTATGAGGAGAAGGCATTAGGAGTTTGGACTGAAAGAGGGACATGAGCTTATTTCTACTTATTATCAGTTGGGTTTGTGTGGAGAACAAATGAGGACAACAGAGGAAGTGTAGGCAGCTAAGAGAGCTGCATGTGCCAGTGGAGACCACAGAGGAAGAGCACCCAGCCTAAGGGATGACCAGCACCTGCCTGAGAGAGGCCTCACCATATGACAAGGACTCTTGGCAGGGAAGAATCCCAGGAAGAATAGCATCGCTCTTGACTTCCTGGTGTTTCTGCTCAATATTCCCTAATGTTTGGGAACATAAAAATATATACTGCACTTTAAGTCAGTGCTGTAAGTTGCTCTTCCAGAGTTGGAGAAACCAAAATGAGGTTCCTAACTTGCCTCTACCTTTCAGAGGTTGTAAATGGAAAGGGGGAACATGGCCTCTGTCCTGTGAAAGCTGTTTCTAAAGTGTAAAGAGCTTCAGAGAAGGCTAGTATATTAGGTAAGGACTCACTAGCCACATGTTATGTCTTCTGAGCTGCCTCCAATCCTATGGAAAGGAAATGTGCTAATAATCAGAGTCAAGTGTCTTTTAAAATCAGGAAATAAAGCAAATGACTTCCTTACGTGTTTGTCCAAGTCAGGCCTGGTGTCTTGGTGTTGCTCAGATGGATGGACTGAGGTCTGGACTGGATGGATCCTGCCCACATGTTGCTGGTGTCACTCCCACTGTTGTGACTGGCTTGGCATGTCTGGGGTGCTTTACACATGCTTGGTCTAGACCTTAAGGAGACTTCTGAGTCTCTTAGTGATGCCAGCTGAGCTCACCCATGTCCATGTTTGCTTCCAGAGATTGAGATGGTGATCATGGAGCGTAGCAAGCTCTCAGAGCTGGCCACTGCCGGGGCCTCGGTGCGGGAGCAGAACACCACCGATGAGGAGAAGAGCGCTGCCACAGGCTCAGAGAGTACACAGTTGAGCAGGTAGGCACCAGGACACTGATGGGAGCTACTGGACAGCTACTCAGCCTTGGGAAAAGATAACTACATGGTCACAGCCCTTGCCCACCAGATGGCTGTTCTATTCTCCTTTGTTCCCTTTGCTCTAGCCTCTGGCCACCCAGAGACTTGAGCTCTTGAGGTGCATGAGAAAGGAACAAGCCCTTGGCACGTGCTCATACCCAAATCCTTTGGAAAGGTGGCCAGGACAGAGCACTGCCACGGTAGAACACTTGGCAACTAGGCTGTGTCTAAAGGAGGGAGGCCATTCCCAGGAAGACCCTCTTGAGACCCAGGCATGCCAATGTTGAGACTCTGATTGCCAATCTTGCCTACATCTGTGGGGCCTTTGGCACATAATGTGATCTACTGCTGCCACCTGTCCTGGCCCATTGCCCTAACATTCACCTCAGTGATGGCTTGTGGAGCTGGTCTTGAACCTTGCCCTGCTTATTTCCTACAATCTTGCTGAGGCTCATCAACTACAGCACAGGGTTGTTCCCACAGTATACAGTAAGAGGCAAGAGGGTATCTTCATTTCAGGACTGTTTCCTCCACTGTTAGGCAGATGCAGACACAGGCCTCAGCCTGTGTGTTCAGTGTGGTGGTGTTAATGCACACACACTGATGTGGATTCTTGGTCTTCCTGCAGCACATTGACTTCTTTAAGCCTCAAGATGTGGCCAGGAATGTACTTCCTCCACATACACACCCTATTATTAACTCAATTTAAAGCATGGAAACACACTTATTTTCATTTTCAGGTTTTTTTCTTTCTGTATCATATTGGTTGGTGGGTGTGTGGGTGTTGCTGAGCAAGTAGGCCAGTATCCTGCTGCTGGCAGAGCCATGTACATTACCAGTTCTTATTTTCTTCTTTGTTTGGACTGTGTTTGGTTGTCTAACAGAGAGGATTAATTTGTAGCAGATGTACAAGAGAACAGTTTTTTGATTTTGTTAACTAAAAAACATTGGCTAACACATGGTATGGGTTGTCAGTTGTAAGCTGTAAAGCCTTGTATGATTTTGCTTAACAACAATATGTAACCCCTGAGCTCTGAAAATGAAGGAAGTTATTCTCAGCATAGAAGAGACAGGTTGGAAGCATGGCCCAGCATTAGTTAGAATGTGAATGACTGGAAAAACAACAGATGAAAAACAGTAGAGAATGCTTAAGCAAATGAGATCTGTGTGCTTACAGAACATTAGCTGCTCCTTTTCCTGTGACCTCTTGGTGATGTGCAGGTTTTTAGGATCCAGTGCATGGAATCATGATCCTGAAATAGTAACACTGTAGCTTTGTGAAAGTGAGAAGGAAACCAAGATGTTAAGTATGATTATTGGACTTGATGACTTATTTTTCCTGCATTTTAGGGAACAAAGTTTTTTTTTTTTTTTTTTTTTTTTTTAGGGTTGTTTGGGGTTTTTTTTAATTTTGGAGATTTTTTTTTTTTTTTTTTTTTTTAGAGTTGATAGGGTTCTTTTTAACCTTGGAAGACTAACTGGTAACTGTGACCACATGGCTTTCTAATTAATAGAAGTTGACTCGGGTGCCTGGAGATGGGCTGCCTACAGGCCTGAACCAGGCTCTCAGTGTGTCTCTGAGACAGAGACAGCATTCCTAGTGCCCACTTTGCAGCACTGAGGCTGGGAGCCAGTGAAGGATGGAGGAAGATGGCCATTTGTTCCCCAAAGCATCAGTTGAATCTCTACATCTATTCGACCATACTGAGAACTAAAGCTACTGTGATTTTCATTGCATAGTGTTCTGCCTTCAGTTAGGGTCAAGTTAGACACCACCCCACCACCCAAAAAAGCAAACCAATCCGTTGTTTTTTGTTTTTTTGTTTTTTTTTTTTTTTTTTGAGGCAGTCTTGGTAAATAGTTCTCCCTGGCTGGTCTGAAATCCTGAGTACTAGGATTAAAGGTGTGCACCACAGGCCCAGTTCAGCAACATTTAAAAGACACATAAATGATGCACACCCTGAAAAATGTGAAAACTCTTCAGAAATACAAAGAAGAAATAAAAGTCAATGATCCCAGATGGTTCTATTTTGATAATTTCTTACCAACTTTTTCAGGGCCACTTTTATGGGCCTTTTGTCCCCTTCCCTAGCTCATGCCTATCATATTTTCTTTTTCTTTTTGCTGTCTAATATCAAACCCCAGCATCTTTGTCACATCATCATCCTTAGTAAATACATACTTAGTAGTTTCATAATCCATCTCATACATAAAAGACACCACACCCACCAAACCTCCCTTTGTTATTGTGCTTGGTTGTTCATATTATTCCCAAGTGCAAATATAATTCAAATTGTGAGCATGTGGTATACTAGAGATGTGTTACATTTTATAATGCTCTCAAATTTGGCAAAGTTATTGTTAGAAGACTCAAAAAAAACCAAATCTATACACACAAGAGCTGTGGACAGGTCTGAATGGAAGAGCCCCATCCTGGGCACCAGAAAATAGAGATTAAATGTCAATGTTCTCCTTAAGGTTTTTCCTTTTTTTTTTTTTTTTTTTTTTTTTTTTTTTTTTTTTTTTAATAGGGGGTTTTTTTTTTTTTTTTTGGTTTTTCAAGACAGGGTTTCTCTGTGGCTTTGGAGGCTGTCCTGGAACCAGCTCTTGTAGACCAGGCTGGTCTCGAACTCACAGAGATCCACCTGCCTCTGCCTCCCGAGTGCTGGGATTAAAGGTGTGCGCCACCAACGGCCTGGCAAGGTTTTTCCTTTTAAATGTTGTGTCCCGTGTTTATTTGAAACATGACAAATACATTTTTATTGCTTCTTTGTTTTCATTTTTCAGCTTAATATTTTGTGTTGATACATTAGGATTTGAGGACTTAGAACAAGGAGCTAGGAGCTAGTAGTAGAGCACTTGCTTTTCGAGGTCCTCCACACCATCTCCAGCACTTCCCCTCAAAGGCCTAAAATATTCAAGATGGTATGGGAGTTTCTGCAGCAAATGGTCCCCTCTGAGCAGTCCTGTTTTCACCCCTCATAGGTAGTCCATGTTGCTGATACCCATTCACTCCCTGGAGCACTTGGCTATCTTGACCTCAGCCTGACATTCAGTAGGGTAGCCTCAGATGGGATCAGAGTCTCCTGCCCCAGGCCGGCCCTGGGCATATTCTGTTGTCTATTATGGAAGAGTCTTGCCAGACTAGGCCCCACCCTGGGAAGGCCAGCCTTTGCAATGTGGATTTCCAGGTTATGGCAACTCTTCTTTATATCTTTCCCACACAGCACAGGAGGTGAGAGACCTCACTTTCAATTCTTCTAGTCAAGAAATATTGGCTCAAGAAATTGCTGAGCCAGGGCACTGCCAAAATGAAATCATGGAGAAGTGTCCTTGAAATACTAAATAAACAATCAAATACAGTGCACGACCCTATGCCAAGGCCCTCCAGTCAGCTTCCTGGGCTGGAATGCTTCTGTGCAGTCGAAGAGGTGGAGCAGTTAAGGCACTCAGTAGGAGGTTTGTAGCAGGAAGAAGCCAGGTCAGCATTTGAACACAGGCAGTCTGACTCCATAGCTGTACCTCTAAACTTACTCATGTTGCTGTCCGTGCCTTGCCAGGTAGTATTGCTCCATTATATCATCCTATTTTCTTCTTTATTCTTTCTATCTTTCCTTTAAAGTGATGATGTGTGCCTGTGCTGTCTCTGCCAGCTGGCAGGGAAATGCAAAAGATCAGGGACTTTGTGTCTGAATCTCCAGAATCCGAGACACCCAGTAAATGACTATCAAATGACTAAGTGGTCTGTTCCTAGGTTGCTTTCCTCTCTGGGTCGTAGCTTTCCAAGGTCAGAGCCCTTCTCTCATTCGTATGGATGTGTTGCCAGTGCCTGATTCTGGACCAGGCACTTACTGAATTCACCACAAACTAGTGGCCTTAGAGCAAACCTGTGAAAAGCAAACACAGCTGATGCTGTCAGGTGAGAGAGGGAAAATGGACACTGTGTCAGAGGATTATAGACCTCTCCTCTTTTCCAGACCCTTCCTGGATATGGTATACCATGCCCTGGACAGCCCTGATGACGACTATCATGCCCTCTTCGTGCTCTGCCTCCTGTACGCCATGTCTCATAACAAAGGTAGGCATGATTCTCACCATCTTTAATGTCTGTGACCCTGTGCATCTGTGGCATCCTTCTTCTTTACTGCCATAGAGGAAGGGAGGGCATTTTGGGAAGGAGTTTCCTTTCTGGCCTCTGAGATGACTCTTACGATGCTCTTCAGCCTCATTACAATTTCTCATGTGTTTTTCTGCAGACTGAAGCCATAGGCATTGGTGACTCAGGCGTGGTGGTGGGACATTCAAGTGTGGCTGTCTAACTCAGTGAGGCTAGCTTCCCTCTGTGGCTTTCTACAGAACTCCCTCTCTGCTTTACAACTAACCTAACCAACGACCACTTTCCTGACACCAGGGCAAAACCAGTCAAATTGGTTTTGCTATTTATAATACTTGATGTTCTTGCTGTGGGCTCAGTGCTAAAATAGATCTGTGTGGAAGTGTAGGTTTCCTTTCTAAAGGGAGGTGTGGTTCTCCAGCTTCCCTTGCTCAGGCTGTGTGGCCAGGCCCCAGTTCCAACAGAGCTGACAGTTCACTGGCATGCACCAGTCCTTCCCTCAGCACCCAGTGCTAGGAGCAGCTTCTCTATTGGCCCATGGGCTCCCCACGGGCAAATTGAAGACTTTCCTCAAGAATATTCACAAGAACTGTAGTTGGCATAGATTGACACATGGTTTCAAGGTACATACAGGAGGTTTACATTAAGCTTGTTGGATGTAGATATCTACTAAGTGATGTTTACTAAGACAACCTATGGCTAGAGTCATTAAAGCAGAGCTAAATCTCAGTTATTCTTAAATCATTAGTCATGGAAATTAAGTCAGTTGGAAGCACAAAAATGTGTAGTGGCAAATGTCTCTGCTCTGCTTTGTACCCAGCCTTCTTTAAGGCTGCTTCTACATCAGTTTCTCTAAGAAGGCTATGAACCCTCAGTTTAGAAGACAACTAGCTGCACCAATAGCCATCAGTGGGTGTCCATATGGCCTGCTGCTGGGGCTGCCCTTCTCTCACCATCAGGGATTGACACAGTACTTGTCATCTATGTAAAAATGCCTGTTGCCTATTTGGGCCATAATTGGTTCTGTATCTCCTTAGTAACTAGCAATAGGCAGCCTCCACAGTTCTGTTCAGTGTAAACCATAGTGCTCAAAACCAGGCTAAAGACCTAGCCTGATGCCACCACAGCCTCCTCCCTCTATTCCTCCTGTGGTTTTGGGTAGAGGTGGAGCCCTATGTATACTAACCCAGCCTCATAGCCTGAGACTTTAAAAAGCATGACAGGCTCCAATTCCTGCTGATGTTGTGTCTCATCCCCTCCCATACATGTAGTCTCCTTCCTTCCTTTGTGACCTCCAACACCTGGCTCACTACCTATCACACACAGTTATTTAGCTCCATGACAGCTACTGCTTCCCCATAGGCTCTGTATTCAGTTCCTGCTGGTGGCATGCTGGATGCCTTAGCTCAGTGTTCCAGCACACCTTGTTAGGTTGCATTCATCCCCATAAATACATACTCCCTGCCATTCTGTTGCTGTTAGCATTGCCATCCAGAGTCACAGCTGCCATAGCCATTGGAACTTTGCCTCCTTTGCTCCTGACAGTTTCTCAACAGCTTGTCTGTTCTCCCTTTCTGGCATGTCTGATCAGCTGATTTCCTCAATGTGTCTGTGCAGGGCTGGCTCAAGTCAGGAATGGAGATAGAAACCAAGGCAGGAGCAAAGAGAAAATGAGTCTGGGCCCACTGTTCAATGGTCATTATCTTAGGCCTGTGATTATCAGCTCCTGCTAGAGTCAAGGGTATTGCTGTTTTGGAGTCCACCCTCCATAGTACCCCTCAAAGAGAGGCTGTTTTGACTCTGTCCTTTACTATTCAGGAACATTTAGTTTCTCCCTTAACCTCCATCCTCCTATCCCTCCCGTGTTGAGTATCTAGACATTACCTGCTTTTCCACCTTGGTTTGGTTTCTAGGACTCCCTTCTCAGAACTTTAGCAGGCAGGGGGAAGGTGGGGAGTCACACTCAGGTGCAGCAACAGACCTCTGGTAAAGGTAAGCTTGAAGTAGTTCTCATGCTACTCACTGAACTCAACCATGTTCCTATGAATAAGCAGTGGAAACTGCCTTTCCTCCATGGCCTGGGGGCACCTCACAGAAGTGAGGAAAGGAAAGGACTGTTAGAAACCTTGGCAATAATTATTGTTGAACCTTCCCTCAAGGACTCCAGTTTGGTCCTAGTCAGTCCCAAGATGGCTGCAGCTTGGTGCTGTGCCTAACTCTGGACTATAGACAGACTTTTCTTTTCTGCCCTTCCCAATTAACTGACACAGAGAATAAATATTAATTATAAATGCTCTGCCCATAGCTCAGGCTTACTACTAAGTAGCTCTTACAACTTAAATCAACCCATTTCCATCTGTGTGCTTCCCTGACGGCTTGTGGCATTTACTTCTCTGGAATGTCTTACTTCCTCTCCATCTGGCTGGTGACTCCTGACTCTGTCCTTCTTTCCAGAGTCCTTTGTGTCTGGCTGTCCTACCTATACTTCCTATCTAGCTGCTGATCACTCAGCTTTTTGTTAAACAAATTCAAGTGACAAATCTTTACAGTATGCAAAAGGATTATTCTACAGCAGGTCACTGTTGGCTAGGGATGATATTGTAGCACATAGTGGTCCTAGAGCCCAGCCTGTATCTTCTTCTTTGGAAGCCCAGGAGCCACCCTAGTTAGTGCCAACAAAGCACCTGTTCCCAAAGAATCTGTACTTACTTAGACTCACTCATAGTCTCTCTTGATGTTTTCTCTTTTCCTAATCACCGCCTATCAAGGTTCCTCTCAGAAATCACCTTCAATGTTCTTTCCAGTTCTCCTAGGTGATGCTCCAGGTTAATGTCACCTGCTGTGAAATTTTATGGACATTGCTGGATTTGACTTGTTATGCTTTTTAAAGGTCTTTTTCTTTTCTTTTCTTTCTTTCTTTCTTTCTTTCTTTCTTTCTTTCTTTCTTTCTCTTTTTTTTTTGTGAGACAAGATCTCATGCATCCCAGGCTAACATGGAATTCACTTTGTAGCTAAGGATGACTGTGAACTTCTGATTCTTCTGCCTCCACCTCCCAAATGTTGAGATTATAGTTGTGCACATTACTCCTGGTTTAGGAGGGCTGAGACCTCATTTGAATTAGGTTAATACTTTACCAACTAAGCTAGATATGCAGTCCTCACTGTTAAGGATTTTTGCATCTGTGTTCATGGATAACACTGCTCTATAGACTTCTCTTATTTGGCTGTATTGCAGTGATGTACCTTAGAGTGTAGACTGGGAGGAAATTCATTCTCCTTAGTTTTTTAGAAGATTAAAGAAAAAGGCTACCATTATTTCTTCTGTATGTGTTCCTTGAACCAGTGGAGCTATCTGAATAGGTATTTTCTATGAGGAAGCTTTTTTAATTTTTTTCTTTTTTTTTTTATTTGAATTAGAAACAAGATTGTTTTACATGTCAATCCCAGTTCCTTCTCCCTTCCCTCCTCCCCTACACACACACACACACACACACACACACCCTAACTATCACATATCCTCTCTGTTCCCCCTGGAGGGTGTAAGGCCTTCCATAGGGTATCATCAGAGTATATCGTATCCTTTGGGATAGGGCCTAGGCCCACCCC